GGAGCAGGGAGGTGAGGAAGGAGATGAACAGGGAGGGAGCAGGGAGGGAGCAGGGAGATGAACAGGGAGGGAGCAGGGAGGGAGCAGGGAGATGAACAGGGAGGGAGCAGGGATGTGAGCAGGGAGGGAGCAGGGATGTGAGCAGGGAGGGAGCAGGGAGGGAGTAAGGAGGGAGCAGGGAGGTGAGCAGGGAGATGAACACGGAGGGAGCAGGGATGTGAGCAGGGAGGGAGCAGGGATGTGAGCAGGGAGGGAGTAGGGATGTGAGCAGGGAGGGAGCAGGGAGGGAGCAGGGAGGGAGCAGGGAGGGAGCAGGGAGGTGAGCAGGGAGGGAGTAGGGAGGTGAACAGGGAGGTGAGCAGGGATGTGAGCAGGGAGGTGAACAGGGAGGTGAGCAGTACTCCTACCTCGTGCTGGCACCCAGTGGCATCAGCCCAAAAGCAAGTGATGGTTGTGTCACCCGGGAAGAGAAGAGGAAGGTGGTTGAGGCCACAGGTCTGAGTCAGTGTTGGACTCTGGGAGAGCAGGTGGGTCCTGGAGCGAGGCCAAGGTGTCCCCGCTGCTGAGAAGACACTTCTCTGTGTGATGTGTGTCTGTCCCTGACCTGTGACATGCCCTTGAAGTGCTTGGCCTGCACCCTGCAGTTGCTCTGAGGGAGCAGCACGGCAGCAAAGCCCCAGATCCCACTCCCTGCTTCTCCCTGGGCTCCTGTGACGCCCTCCAGGGAGAGGCTCCGTCCCCACCCACCGGGAAAACCGCAGAGGGCGCTGGGTCTGAGCGCGGGGTCTGTTTGTTTGTCTGTCCTCAGACACTGAGGGTGCCCCGCGGGAGCAGGAGTGTTCCCCAGAGACGACCCACGGGATGAGCGGATGCCCTGGGAACAACGAGTGGAGCAACGCGGGGAGGAACCTGATCGCGGGTGAACAGAGAGAGATGGGCGGGGGCGGGAACAGCTTCATCGCGGGAGTCTTCATCCAGGCCAAGAACAAGAAGCTGAGTGTCTACGATGCCATGGTGAGGGGGCTCCTGACCCCGGGCACGGCGCTGGTGCTGCTGGAGGCACAGGCGGCCTCGGGGCTGCTCACGGACCCCGTGAGCAACGAGCAGCTCTCGGTGAAAGCGGCGCTGGCCTCGGGACTCATCGGCCGGGACTTCTACGAGAAGCTGCTGTCGGCAGAGGGAGCCGTGACCGGGTACGCGGAGCCCTACACGGGACGCAGGATCTCGCTGTTCCAGGCCATGAAGAAGGAGTTCATCGTCCGGGAACACGCCATCCGCCTGCTCGGGGCCCAGGTCGCCACCGGCGGCATCATCGACCCCGAGCACGGCCACCGGGTCCCCGTGGAGGTGGCCTGCGAGCGCGGCTACCTGGACCAGGAGACGAGACAGTTCCTCTGCAACCCCGAGAATCAAACCAGGAGCTGCTTCGACCCCAACACCCACGAGAACCTGACCTACGTGCAGCTGCTGCGCCGCTGCGTCCCCGACCCCGACACGGGGCTGCTCATGCTGCAGCTGATGGACAAGGGCTCCGTGCTCTACCAGCTCACCGAGGACGCCCGCAAGGCCCTGCAGGCCGCCCGCACCACCCTCAGCGTGGGGCTCTTCCAGGGACAGAGCGTCACCCTCTGGGAGCTCCTCTTCTCCCGCTACGTCCCCGAGCTCCAGCGAGAGGAGCTGCTGAGGAAGTTCAGGGCGGGCACGGTGACCATCCCGCAGATGACGACCGTCCTCACCGCCACCGTCACCGGGGCAGAAATGGGAAACGGGGGCCTGAGCTCACCCGCAGCCAAACCCCACAGCGAGGTGAGGGCGGCACCCCCAGCTCAGGACGTGCAATCCCAGGAGCAACAGCTGAGAAAGTCCTTGAAGTCTGCGACCGTCCGCGTCACTGCCGGGGAGTTCCGGGGCCAAAACGTGTCCTTGCTGGACCTGCTCTTTTCCAAATACGTCCCTCAGGGGAAGCGGCAGGAGCTGCTGGAGCTGTACAGGGCGGGGATACTGAGCACGGAGCAGGTGGCCACGGTGGTCACCACCATCCTGGACAGAACAGAAGCCGCGAACGCCGCGCTCGCGGCAAGGGCCAGAAATCCACACAGGGCAGTGGCGAGGGCAGGGGCCGATGGAGAGGATTGTTCAGCTCAATACACACACCTGGATGATGCCTTGAAGTCCACCACCATCAGCGTTCCAGCTGGGAAGCTGCGGGGGAGGCAGGTCTCCCTGTGGGACCTGCTCTTCTCCGACTGCATCACCGAGGAGAAGAGGCAGGAGCTGCTGGAACTGTACCACGAAAGGTTATTAACTCTGGAGCAGATGACAACCGTTGTCACCACCCTCGTTAAGAAAAGAGAATCTACAGGCAGGAAATTCCAAATTAAAGTCAAGGGTTCTGACAAGGACACTGTGACAGGGGCAGGAGAGGAGGGTGACAACCCCCCCAAAGAAGAACCGAGCGAAACAGCTTTGAAAACCACAGTGGTCGACGTGGAGATTGGGGAGTTTCAGGGCCACAAGGTCTCCGTGTGGGACCTGCTCCACTCCCAGTATATCCCCGAGGAGAACAGGAAGGAGCTGCTGGAGCTGTACGAGGCAGGGGAGCTGACCCTGGAGCAGGTGAAGAGCGTTGTCACCACCATCGTGACCAAGGCAGCGGCAGCGGGGGCAGAGCAGACGTCACCCGTGGGTGGTCCTGAGGCAGAGCCCACGGGCACAGAGGCTGAGCCCAAGGGCACAGAGGCTGAGCCCACGGGCACAGAGGCTGAGCCCACCCCCCTGCACAGGGACACGACCCTGGAGGAGGCCCTGAAGGCCACCCCAGTCGAGGGGTCAGTGGGTGAGCTCCAGGGGAGGCAGGTCTCGCTGTGGGACCTGCTCTTCTCCGAGGACATCCCCGAGGGGCAGAAGGAGGAGCTCCTGGAGCTGTGCCGTGAGGGGACACCCACCGTCCAGGAGCTGCTCAGCACCAGCGGCAGCCTCGTGGCCCGCGGCCAGGGGAGGCACCTCACGGCCCTGCCCCGCCAGACCGTGGACCTGCTGCGGTCCGAGGGCTCCTACATCACCTTGGGGCCGTGCCAGGAGCGCAGGGTGTCGGTGTGGGAGCTCCTCTCCTCCAAGCAAGTCTCCGAGTACAAGCGCGAGGCCCACCTCGACTCGTACGGCAGCGGGGGGCTGACGGTGAACAGGATCACCATCACCACCACCGTCACCACGGGCCCCCAGCGCCAGCACAGCCACCAGCGGCACCACTGACACCCGCCCCCGGCACAGGAGGGGGCTCAGCCCCCCCGGGCACCCCTGGGACTGTGCCCTCCACGTCCCTCTGTGTGTCAGTGCTGTGACAAACCCGTGTGTGCAGCGGGGTTAACTCCTGGTTAAACTCCTGGTTAAACTCCTGGTTAAACTCGTGGTTAAACTCCTGCTCTCTCAACCACCCCTGTGCTGAGGTTTCCTTTGCCCGGCAGAGCCCTCCTGGAGGGGCCCTGGGGGGGTCCAGGAGCCCGTGACTGTGCTGTGCACACACAGGAATGGCCAAGGACAGGGGGATGTGGGGCCAGCACCCAAGGGGGGGATGGAGAGTGTCCCGAGGGGGAACAGGCAGAGACCCCAGCGAGGGGGTGGGGGCAGCACGACCTCGGCCCCAGGAGAGCCACAGAGGGACAGACACACTGTGGTCAGGACAGACACCCTCTGCTCAGGACAGACAC